GGCTCCTACCCCGCGCCTAACTGCTCGGGAGTTAAATGAGGAACGCGGTTTCGGAGGCGAGCCCTTATAGAGTGAAGTTTTTGTCGTGTCGGTTAGAATTATTTAAAAGGAATCTTCCACGCTTTACTCACCCGTTTAAGCAGAGTATCCAGTACTGCAGGGGTCTGGAGGGGCTGAGTGTGGGTATGTGTTTCTTTCTTTTTTTATTTTTAAGTGTGATTTCCTTTCCTCTTTTCAGACAAAAAGCGGAGAGATTTTGCCTTTAAGGCTGGGGGAAGGCCACGTTTGAATTCTGTGGTTAAGTTTACCCAAAGTTTATATTTAAAAGGCACTATTTTATCAATGATTGATAAAAGAGCAGTGCACCAGATGTGTTTAATCAGCCACTCTGTCTCTGAAAGCATGCATGTACTTTTGACTCCTTTTCCAGGGTGAAGTCCTGGCCCCACAGAAATTAATAGCAAAACTTCCACCAACTTTGCTGGGGCCAGGATTTCACCCTCTGTGTATTACTAAGATCTTCCCAGTGATGGAGATCCTGCCAAAGGTTCATGTCCTCCAGCCAAACCAGCTGGGGGGTTCCGGAAGAGCTCCACAGCTTTATACAAGAAACTGGCATTTTTTCCCCTATTTGCTAGCATTCCCTCCAAACACATAAGCATTTCAGCAAAAATGGCATGCAAACTGGACCTGAAGGGGAACTGGCATCTCTTGGGCCATTAAGTCTAATCTTTCCATATAGAGGCATCCATGCCACCTAATATCTTTAAACTTAACCGGTTCCGTCTCAAACCACCCAGGTTTCCTTCTTCTCCCATTGGAAGCTTCTGAGCCTTCTCCTTCTGAAGTTCTAAGAAACTTTATCTTGTTTCTAACTAAATGTATTCATAGATGATTACACATCGATGAGCAAGTGTTTGGCTTAAATAGATCTTTCCCTTGGGAATTAACTCTCTAATGCCTTATGAGGAAGAAATCAGATTCTGTCTCAGTCTTTGTTTGGACCGTCAGTTTTCCATATGTGGCCTCATCAGTATCTGGCATAGACATATAAATATTTTCCTGTTTCTACCAAAAATACTAGCAATTCATAATTATTCTGTGATTGGTTACTCTGTCTGGATCTTTCTCCTTTATCAGTTCCATCTTTTCACCTTATATCAGAAATTCTTGTTAGCCCTTATTTGTATGACCTAAATTTCATCCCTTTCCTATTACAGTCAATTCCCATCTAGTCCTTCCAGTGTAATATTTGGTCCTCCTGTATTGACAGAAGGACATCCCTCCCGTGCTTACACCATGAGTGTTTTCATTAGTACATTCCTACTTTTCCATGCCAAGTTTATTGCTGGAAGTATTACATAAAATAACTCACAGGACTGATTTTTGAGGAACTAATCTGAAATACACATAAACAGGCCTTGAAGCTGGGCTTAGAATTCAAGTGTCTGTGCACAAATAAATACCCTAACCCTAGGCTAGGAAGTCACACTCCCGCTCTCTCCTAGCCCCGATGCTATCGTTATTACTTTCTGAAAAGCTGAAGGAGAAAGTGATGAGAATGATGCCTCCCTCTACTACTGAGAGATTAGTGCGCTCTCCCAAAAAGCAAAGCGTGGGATTTTGCTCTCAGGCACATAAGGGTCTCAAATTGGGCACCTCCCCTCCGGCCTTTTTTAAAAGGGATGACTACTTCTGCCTTTTACGGTCCTGCTGTGCTCTGAGCATG